TTTTAAAAGTTAAAAAGAATGACGCGTTATATATTGATGAAAGTAATTTATTGATATTTTATTTGTAATTGTATATAATTAAAGGTATTGCAAACGATCAAATTACCAAAGAAAATATCAACAGCGAAATCATGACCAAAATAAAAAAATGGATAAAATTTTCTTTTATATTACCATACCGACTTTTAAATCAATTAAATTCTTATTCAAATTTAAATTTATTATATAAATATTTATTAACCCTTCCTACAACTTCCTGTTCAGCCGAAAGAGCCATGAGTAAAGTAAAAATTAACAAAACTCGAATGCGAAATAAAATTTCGGACCCATTTTTGGAAAATTTACTGTTAATATCCAGCGAAATTGATGTTTTTGAAAAATTTACAATTGATGATATTATAACACAATTTGCTTTAACATCAATAAGGTTATCCAAATTATTAATAAAATAATTAATGTATCTTTTTCACAGCGAATATATAGGCTTTTAAATAATGTATATTTAATTTAACATTTTATAATTTCAATGCAAAATATACTATAATTCATTTTATTCTAATATTTTATATAATAGCTCTATTTACAATACATGTTTTTAATTATGTGGAATCAAGCTAAATATACCTCTTTAAATTTATTCGTCTTATATTTTTTACAATATTTTAGATCTTTTTCATAGAAATATTAATATGTTATCTCATTTAATTCACTTATATATATTTTATGAAAATAAAGTGAATACCAAATTATGAAAAGATTGCATTATTTAAATAAAAGTTCATTATCACTTACAAATTTTTAAATTTTTTTTCCCTAAATAGGCTTGAAAGATTGTAAATAGAATTATGTTGTAAGGTTATAAATAATGGCAGATAAGATTTTTTAAATAAAATCACTATACCATCGTAGGTCTGTAAATTTCGCGGCCGAAGGCCGCAGGATTTTTTTAGGTGGGTATGGGTAGATTTTGGAGGGTGCCTCCATCAAATTTTCTGCCATGTAGACGCTGATAAGTGGATTCAAAATTTTAGCCCCGAAAAGGCCCTTCAGAGTTGTACAAAAGATCTTCTTTGAAGATTTTTGAGCAAGATCTAGCTCAAAAATTTGATAAAGATCTTTGAAGATCGTAAAATTTGAAGATCTTTTATTTTTTAAAGATTTTGTGTAACGATCTTCAAAGATCTTCATGATATTTATTTTTTTACCCCTTTATTAAAAGCCCAGATGTTTTTCAATTTTCATCAAGGCAGGAGGAGAAATATAAAACATAAAAATATTATATTAATAAAATTGAAAAACATCTGGGCTTTTAATAAAAAGGTAAAAAAATAAATATCATGATCTAGATCTTTGAAGATCGTTACACAAAATTTTAAAAAAATAAAAGATCTTCAAATTTTACGATCTTTGTTTTTATTTTGAGCAAATGTACAACTCTGAGGCCCTTTTAACAAAAACTTGTGTTGCTGGAACCGCAAGTACTATAAGAGCAAGTTTATATAATTCTGGATATTCATTTTCTTTGATTCCCAATATATAAAGCTGAAGATTTTTTAGATTAATTAAATACAACTAAATCAAAAATTGGTTATTTAGATATTTTGCACATATAGGAAATAGGAATGCTCTAATTATATGAGGAAGTTAAAAGATTGTAGATGAATTTAAATCATAGTGAAAAATTATTACATACTTCTAATGGATATTAAACAAATATTTTTTTATAAATATTAAAAATAACGACGCAGATATTGTAAAATATGTAATACACTAGAGGAAAATAATATAATAAAAGGTGAAATAATTATTTTATTTTTGCTAAACCGACGGTAACTTTTTTTATAAAGGTTCAGTTTACTCCTTCAAAAAATAATTAGATCGGTTCAGTTACGGTTCATATATATATATAAAGGTTTATAACAGCATAGTGGTTCATTCTGGTTCACTCCAGATCCCTGATTTTTTTCTCGTTTTTTTTTTGTTTTATCTTTATATTTTTTCTTTTGTTTTAATGTTAGAAATAAATCGAATCCAATATAGAAATTAAATAATACATCAAAATATAATATTACTGATTATCAACTATAAAGGGAGAAGCAAATCTTGAGCATCACATAAAAAGAAACAATACTGTTGAACTCAATAAATTTCACAAAATATTACAACAAATAAAATATATAAATCGAATGTAGGTTTATATAAAAAAGTGTTCAACCTCGTTTTTATAAATTCGAACTAAACCTATACTTTTATTTTTTTTCGAACTGAACTTTAACCTTAAGCTTTATTTTTATCCGAACCTGAACGTAAACCTAACCGATATTCGTTTCGGTTCTGATCCCTGGTTTATGATAAAATATAAATATTTATATAATATAAAACTAGATTATCATAATATTTTTTGAAGAATATTAAATATAATTTGATTGGAAGGAAGGAGTTTTTCAAAAGGAATGTTGTAAACTTTTATAATGAATTTGGGTATGAAAATCTTTAATAAATAAATATACCTGAGCCTCTATATTTTACCAGATCAGAGGGTCTTGAGGTCGTTTTGAATCTAGTGGCCTAGTAAATATTTCTTTATCAAACATCTTACCATATTTTTATATAATACAAATAATGTAAAAATCACAAATAAAATACAAATAAATAGGACATTAGTATGTTGCAAACAAAACATGGAGGAAATCTATTCAATTACATAAGCCAATGGATTTCTAAGAGTTATTTATAATTTTTAAATGTGTCTATATATTGGCATTAGTGACCTTTTAAAGTTAGGTCAAACATTTGAACTAATTTTTCTTTTTACAATGGGTAAGTAATGTATTATAATATTAATAAAGATTATGTAATATAGATTTTTTGTTTGGAAAGAAAACTTCACCCGAGGATATGCTCAGAAAAAATCAACGAGCCTTGAATAGGGCTATGAGAGATTTAGAAAGAGAAAGAACTAAAATGGAACAACAAGAAAAACGTGTTATTTTAGACATTAAAAAAATGGCTAAAGATGGCCAATTAGTAAATGATGTCATTTATTTTGGTAATCATTTTTTATTCAATATAGGATGCAGTTAAAGTTATGGCTCGTGATTTAGTTAGAACTAGGAGATATATTAAAAAGTTTATATTAATGAGAGCAAATATTCAAGCAGTATCTTTAAAAATTCAATCCATGCGATCACAAAATGCAATGTCAGAGGCAATGAAAGGTGTAACTAAAGCTATGCAATCGATGAATAAACAAGTTTTTACATATGTTATATTAATTAATATTGATATGTAAGCTAAAACTGCCACAAATTCAAAGAATAATGAATGAGTTTGAAAAACAAACAGAAATTATGGATATGAAAGAGGAAATGATGAGTGATGCTATTGACGATGCTATGGGTGCAGATGAAGATGAAGAAGAAAGGTATATAAATTTAAATTTTCAATTATTCATTTGAATATATAGCAATGCTGTAGTTTCTCAAATTTTAGATGAATTAGGAATTGAAATGTCAGAAAAATTATCAGGTATAATGTATATGCAATATATATTATTTAAATAACATGTTTATTATATAAAATATTCTTATGGTATTGCTTCATTTAATATCAATTTATAGTTTTATTTTACCTAAAATTTTGATTTAAATCTTTATAAACTCCCATAGGTTTACCAAATGCGAAGGATAGTATATCAATACCAGCTGCTTCTAAAACTGGCAAAAGTCTTCCACAGGTTGCAGGTATAGGTGGTGGCAACACATTTGCAAACTCCAAAACTATTGGGGATAATGACACAGTGAACAAAAATGATTTTAGCAATATGAATTCTGCAGAGATTGATGCTGATTTAGAAGCAAGATTGGAAAAGCTTAGGAGAGAATGAGTTACCAAAATAATAAATATTCCACCCTTACAAGATATCTCATCTTGCAGTATGTTATAAAGTTATGATTCAATCATCATTCATAATTTAATCATGAAATAGCATGAATTTCTAGGACAAATTATGTGGTATATGAATTGATTGCCATAATTGATATAATTTATTCTATTTTTTATTTATACATAATATATACTATATATATCAAATATTACATATAAAAAAATACCATTTTTTGTATTGTACCTAATAACTTATTTATTCTCATTATATTTGCCATAATTGTTTTTATAAAAACATCAAGAATGATAAAAATAAAGATTATGGTTAATATATTTTTTATCTTTATCACAATGTTTCACCATCCAAATAGGTAAAGTATATATATTAATCCTTTAATACTTAGGTATAAAAAAATAACACATGCTCTGGTGAGGTTTACTATTTTAATACATTTCTATTTTTATTCATTATTATAATCTTACATTTTAATCAGAACCTGGATCCAGAACCAAAAATTGGTTAAGTTCTAGTTCCTGAAATTTTGAAAAGTAGATTTTGGATTCTTAAATTTAATATGATTCTAAGGGTTTTGGCCTGCTTCCCAAACTTTGTTAAAGTAATCAAAAAAAGTTGAACCAATACCTTTACCCATATTCAACATTTTAAATTATTATATAAATTAGTTTCACTCATATTAGAACCAAATTTAGGAATAATTTTTTATAGAGATTTCAAACTGTTTTTTAACATAAAATAGAACAAAACTTTATAAAAATATTTATTTTAAATTTATTATGCTTAGTTAAAATATTATGAGGGTAATTATAAATTGTGCCAAAATTTTGTACAAAATGTTTTTTTTAAAAAATAAAATTGAACTCTAAATGGAAACCCATTAAGAACGAATCTTGCATTTATGCAATTCATATACATAAAAAATAGATATATATTCCTACAGAATTATAAGTTTTAATATCTATTGGTTCTTGTGATATGATAATAAAAAATAACGATTTTTTATTTTGAATAGGAGTGTTCCGATACCACTTTTTGTAGTCAGTCCCGATCCGATATTAAATTAATATCGGCCGATTATTAATCCTATATCATATCTAATTTTGTATTATTTTGTAAAGATACCAAGAGTTTTAATTTTTATTATACTTTTTATTAGTATAACATCTATAATCTAACTTTACCATAACTTATGTCATTTAAATATATTATAATGATCAGTGATAATTTATATTCAATTCTAAAAGTATATAAAATATTTTTATTGAAATTACTTATATAATAAGTAATAACATTAATCTATATACATAATAAGAAATAAACAAATATATTATAAAATTTGAAATAAATATTTTAAATAATATTTAACATTAATATATCGAAGATTTCTTTTTACAAATACCAAAATTTCTAATTTATCAGAGGTCAGCCTGCGGCAATGGTAAGTCAATATCACCAGCTTCACTAAAAACAGATTCTCAAGATATTATCGCACACTTTTAAACCTAGGTATTTTTAAAAAAATCTATAAGCCTAAGCTAATAATTAAATTATGTTAATCATTAGATTTAGATTTTGGGATAAGTAATTTTTAATTCCTTTGTAACATTTTATAACGATCTTTATTTTCAAAAAACTTAATCATCTACACATGAATCAACAATCTTTATCAGAATCTAATCGGAATTTATATTTTTAACTACATGTTTTCACATTTGGGCTACTGGATATAGAGGTGGAAATATTTGAGTTAAGGAACAACGCCCAGGCTTGCCCATCTAAGTAAAGGAGCGGTCGGGAGGTAAAAGTAAAATATTTAAAATTAAAAGATTTACAACTTTTATTGTTTAAAATCAATCATTTACATAAATATTTTAAAAAAAGCTTCATGAAATTTCAACATTTTTAATACCAATCGTTATCTGAGGATGTATTGATATCAAAAACATGTATTTGCATGGAAGATCAACGTGGTGAAAATCCGATTTTACACGTTTCTCCAAAAGCAAAGAGAATTCAATTAAAGTTATTAAATTATAAATGCAATGCTTAAAATAGATAGAATTCACGTCAAAATTAAACAACAATAGATAGGAAGATATGGCTGTTACAGAGGAGACCATATTATCTAAAAATATTTAAATCTTAAAGTAGCGAGTTATTTTATAATTTAGCAAGATTTTAGGCTACTAAGTTTAGTTTAAGTTTACTGTTGTAATATTCAAATTAGTTAAAGAAAAATGAATAAAAAAAAGATTTATTATTCAGATTAAATAAAGTTCAAGATTATTTCAGTTTGTCTTTTAAACATTATGTAAATGAATATGATAGAAAAGTATATATAATCGGAAATATTTTACTTAAAAAAAAGAAGAGGATGATGTTACGAACTTAATTTTTTTATTTTAATTTGTATTATTTTAATTTTTATTATTTTAATTTTTTTTAATTAATTTAGTTTGATTATATTTTTAACTTATGATTTAATAAAGATTTAGTATCATGTTATTTTAACCTTTCTTATTTGACAACGATTTTAATCTCTCAATCCTTCTAAAAACATCAAAATGTTACAATGATGTTGGAGAGTGGAGGCGACAGGGCATTTTCAACAATTCAGTCTAATTAACTCTCCCACTAGCCTCAGCAATATAAATATCAATACCATATTGGTTCAGTGGTGTCTTGCAGCGATTGATCCAGGCTTTAGAAGATCAAAAGTCAGTCTAATTAACTCTGAAAAGAGATTCTAAATAAAGGAGGAAGGGGATGTATGAGATGACTATCGACACTAAGACAAAGAATGAGAGCAATAAAACAATGGTATCAATATTAATGGTCGTATTTCGGAGAATTAGTCGTTTAGCTAAAAAGAATGCGTCACAAGAGATCGTTATACGTACAAGTGATCGATGTAGCTAAAAGAATTTCGTTATAAATTTTTATTAAAGATATACGGTTGACTGTTATTTAAGTTGATAATATTTAGCAAAATATCAGGTTGTTGATTAACCAAAAAATCTTCATAAAGAGAAACGGCTTTTCGTCATTAGAAAATTTATGCCGCAATCGAGCTCAATTAGAGATCGGATTTTTATTTTGGATCAAAAGATAGAAGAAATCATTATCGTATAAGAGATCATAAGGCAAAGTGGATATCTGGACAAGCGACTAGGTAGAACAAGTAATCAAGACCAGGATGCAATCGTTAATCGTTGACAAATTATCGCCAATTGCTTATCAAAACTTTAGAATAGGATACAAAATCGATGATCTTAGAAACAAGAATTCGTGAAAACAATCGTTAATCGCAGATCAAGCATCGCCTATCGTTGACCGAGATAAAGCACTTATCATTAGTTAAAAGAGAAGAACGTTAGAAACACAAAAGATTAAAATAATTTAACAGGAGAAAAGATGGGGTATAGATAATCGTTGACTAGCAATCTTGAATCGTTTAAAAGCATGCAATCAATACCAGACGAAGGCAAGAAACAGAATCTACCGGTGAGAAGAAGTAATCGAATACATACCACGACTATTGGTCTTTCGCAGAATGTGGGGGCTAATCTAAGTGGAAGGGTGTTGTAATATTCAAATTAGTTAAAGAAAAATGAATAAAAAAAAGATTTATTATTCAGATTAAATAAAGTTCAAGATTATTTCAGTTTGTCTTTTAAACATTATGTAAATGAATATGATAGAAAAGTATATATAATCGGAAATATTTTACTTAAAAAAAAGAAGAGGATGATGTTACGAACTTAATTTTTTTATTTTAATTTTTATTATTTTAATTTTTATTATTTTAATTTTTATTATTTTAATTTTTTTTAATTAATTTAGTTTGATTATATTTTTAACTTATGATTTAATAAAGATTTAGTATCATGTTATTTTAACCTTTCTTATTTGACAACGATTTTAATCTCTCAATCCTTCTAAAAACATCAAAATGTTACAT